CTTCTTTGTGCCCTGGGCTGCGGGAGGCGCGTCCCCGGAAAACCAAAACGCAAAACTACTTCACACCAGCATTCAGTACATCCAGCAGGCACAGCACTAAGTCTTGCATAGAAACATTGAAACGCAGCAGGTGACCCATCTGTTGCTGCTGGGCTGCATGTCTGCTACTGTAACTAGCGCAGACGATTGCTATGCCATGAGCTATACAGCAGTACCACGTGGTTGCCCGCGTAGCAACCACTCTATTGCGTTCGTAGCAGCTCTCAACTGCTGTGCTCCTTCTCGGTTACGAACCGCAGAGCAGCGTCGATGTACAACCGCCTCCTCCATGGAGGAGCAACCGTGTGCATCAACAGGTACAACCACACATCATGCGCGCACGCATCACATACTGAATCGTCATCACAGCAGTTGCTGTACGTCTCTCTTCGCTCGTACTCCTTCTCTGTCTCTCTGTCTTGTGCTCGAATTCACCACGCTGACTCTCCACAAACTGCTGCTGGGGCACGGGACAACTGCATACTACCATAAGCGCCCAGCGTGGGTCGAGGTTGAGCTTACGACCGGCAAGGGGAGGGAGAGCACTGTCAAAATACAGCCCTTCGAGGACAAAATGGTATGGGTGCCCTACTGCAGAGGGGTAGCGGTCAGCGGCACGTACATCGTTAAGCAGTGGCCTTTCATGGTCGCTGCTTGCATGACCGTACACAGAGTGCAAGGGGTAGGGTTCGAAAGGGTGGCCGTGTGGATTCCCTCTAGAGGGTTCTTCGCCCAGGGTCAGGGGTATACCGCCGTGTCCAGGGGGAAAACTCTAGACGGCCTGTTCCTCGTGTTACCAGACGATGTCTTGCAGGACAGAGAGTTAGCAAGAGAGTTCCTCAAGGAGGCGTTCCAACCGCCCATCGATGCCATCAACGCTCTAGCCGACATGCGACAAAAGGCACCGGCCACTGTTACGGTTAACGTGAGGGGTAGGGGAGTTGCGTACGCTACGCTGTGGGACGAAAGACGGTCATACTACGCCCCAGACGGGTGGGCGGGTGTGTGGCCTGGAGTTCTGTACAACGGTTTAGGTGGGGCAACACGTGTCGAGGGGGAGTATGCACTTGCTGAACGGTCGAACAATTATTCACCTTGTGCAATAGAAGGAGAGGAGAGGCACACCGGTGTGTGACGAAGCACATAATAAGGAACTCCTCGAAAGGGGGAACATGACGCTGCTGCGGACAAACTGCCTTTGAGTACATGCGAGCAACACGGCACTCCTGTGACGCACACTGCACGACGCTCGGAACCCCGTTAAGTGCCTTCGAGCGAAGCGAGTCACACAACACTGTGACCGCACACTGCACCGCGCCCGAAACCTCGCCAATTGCCTTCGAGCAAAGCGAGTAACACGGCACTGTAACCGCACACTGCAACGCGTCCGGAACCCCGTGAAGTGTGTCTGCGAGCGAAGCGAGTTACGATGCCACTTTGTCTTACTCCAAAACCATTACACAAACAACAACACACCAAACCAGGCTATGAATTTTTGGACTGGCATGCCCCCATCCCCCGGATTTGACACGGATTCGACCAAGAGACAGACCTCTCACCACATCACCACAGAGTTCTCCCTCCATGATCGTCGGATCGCGACCAGACCTTGAAGGCTGTACGCACCACACGCTGTAGGTGTTTTTGAAGCTAGTGGTGACTGCTGTGGGATCTGTGTGTGCTGCGAAATATCAATCCATGTGAGCAGAAGTAAGAATCCGTGTGGAGAATCCGTAGGAGATGCTAGATGCTATCCGAAAAATAGGCCAAACTATCGCATCGAATCCTCGACGGATTCTCCACACGGATTCTTACTTCTGCTCACATGGATTGATATTTCTCAGCACACACAGATCCCACAGCAGTCACCACTAGCCTCAACGACGCCTACAGGGTGTGGTGCGTACAGTCTTCAAGGTTTGGTGGCGATCCGACGATCATGAAGGGAGTTTTCTGTGGTCATGTGGTGAGAGGTCTGCCTCTTGGTCGAATCCGTGGTAAATCCGGGCGGGGGGGGGTATGCCAGCCCAAAAAATCCTATGCTAGCCCAAAAAATCCGTCGGGCCAAATTTCGGTTGCCATGAGTCAGCCTGAGCACAACCAAGATTGTTCTCCTTCTCTGGTTTAATAATCAAGGTAAGAACCGCAGGGGGAAACGCTGAGTAACAACAGCGTGAAAAACAAAAAAAAATGCACGTAGGGGCACCGCCCCCGACAAGAGCTTGCTGTTGAGTCACCTGCTGCTGTGTGGAGTATAGGGGTCGGGGTACAGCAGTAGCCACGGCGTGTGCCTTGTCGTCTGGCACATATTTGTCACCTAAGTTACAGTATTGCCTTTAAACATTGAAAAGTGTTCCAATCTTTGCTCTATGCCATGCAGTACTTTCTGATACATCCGTAATGGTCCACCTGATGCGGATGCCTTCCGCGTTCGCAGCAGTAGGCAATGCATGTACATATTTGTATTTACCCGAAGATAGGGGCAATCCAAGGCATAGCGAAGCGATCGTGTCGTAAGTATATACGTCGTCGTGTACGGCAAACGGACTAGCAGGAACAGAACAATCGCGTCGGTTTCAGCTACAGACGCGCAGGGAGACTGCCGTGGCTGGTGAGGGGCTGTTCATAGCGGGTAGGGTGATCACGACGGTTGAACCGCCCCACTACCGCTGTTCAACGCAGCCGATGGTTGCACATGCTGTGACAGGAAATTGAACAGCCGTTTGCCGTTTGCCTTGTACACGTTCCAAAAACACACTAATACGGGTTTCGACAAACTGTGACATGACCCTTGGGGAAAAATAAACACGGCAAGACCACTGCCTACGACGCACCAATTGGCAAGTGC